ATGTGCCACCATACATGGAAAACCTGTTTTTTGTTTTGTTTTGTTTCGTTTTTGTTGTTTTCAAAAGTGGCAGTAGGAGTAAAAATCTCATCTGGTGACTTAGTGAATACAATGGCTACTGTGCAAGAATGAAGACTGGCATGACCCTACCGAAGCCAGGGTCTGCACCAACGTCCATGGCTCCTGTCGTCATCGAAGGCCATGTTGGTATATGAGGGTCATGCTGCCACCGGAGCACACAGAGCTGAGTGGCCTGTGCTGATGCCATGTTGACATCCAGGCCCAGGCTGTGGCTGGAGGCTATGTCTGGGTAAGTGTCGGTATCCATGGCTCCTGTTACCATCAAAGGTCAGGTTGATGGCTGGGGTCTGGGCAACCACCTGGGGCCATGTTGGAGTCTGGGGACCACACTGCCCCCAGGCCCACCTGAGAGAGCTGGCCCTGTCCTTCATAGGAGAGCTTCTCCCACCCCCACACCCCACCTCACACTTCGGGAAGCTGGCCCCACCCTTCACCTGAGAGTGTGATTCCTGCGGCCTGCCTGGACTGACTAACTCAGCTACCACCCAGGCACACATCCAGGGCTTTGAGAAGGCATCCCCAACATCTGTCCCATCTATGACCTGCTGGAGTGTGGGAAGGGACTGCTCCTGAGGAAACTTAGTGGCTGAGTCTCCATGACTCAGGGCAGCAGCCGGATATCTGAGAATAGTTTAGTGAGGGCCCAGAGTTAATGGTGTGCCAGGGGCCAGAGGCCTTGAGTCTGATCAACAACACATTACACAAGGAACATCTGCGAGTAAAGATGTTTGGAAAAAAGGGTGTACGGCGTGATACACAGCAGCTCCCATCACCAAGATTAAGAGGTAAGGGAGAGGTGGGAAAGACGGAGAAGCAAATCGGGTTATTTGTTTGCTTTTGTTTTGCTTTTTGTTGTTTTGTGGGATTTTTTGTTTGTTTTAATATTTCTATTTCTATTTTTAATTTTGTTTAATTTTTATTTCTTTTTCAATTTTCTTTTTGGGGGATGCCTCAAGGGTGAAGGTAAGTATGCCCGGACTGGCAAATGGGTGGGGTTGGGGTGCATGATGTGAAATTCACAAAGAATCAATATGTTAGAAAAAAAAAAGGAAGACTTGAGTTTGGATCTCCAGAGCCCACATGATGCCAGCTTATGCTGCAGCCCGGGACTTTGGTGCTCAGAACCAGCAAGGCGGCATCCCTGGAGCAAGCGGCTAGCCAGGCTAGTAGCCAGGCTAGCCATGTGAATGAATTCTAGATTCAATTGAGAGGCCCTGCTCAAAGGAAAATGGTTAGAGAAAACTTCCAACTTCAACCTCAGGCTTCCTGTAGAGTGTAGACATAAGCATGTCCACCCACACACATGTAAGCATGCATATACCCACGTGTGACACACACATATTTACAACATACAGATCTCAAATTAGACATGCCAAGAAATATTGATTTTAGTTTTAAATCAGTTTAGAAGATACAAAGTGGGGAGCAGGGCTCTGTCTCCGTCAGTAAATTGCCTGCTGTGCAAACGTGAGGACCTGCCTGGATCTCAGCATCCACACAGAAGTCCAGCATGACAGCACATGACTAATCCCCATCCCAGCTTGCCAGAAAGGACAGATGGGTCCTTAGAGCTCACCAGCCAACCATTTTCTCAAAATGAGCAAGTTCTAGGTTCAGTGGGAAATCCTGTCTCACAAGTGACTGAGGAAAACACCTATGCCCTCCATATGCAAGTGAACATGTGTACCCTCATACAGCATGCACACGTGAACACACACAGCTCAGTTACTTTTGGTAATTTTAGGGGCAGATTCAGTTTGTCCCATGATGTCTTAGACACAAAATGACACATGAAAACATTTACATGGATCGCTGGCATGTTGATGCATGCCTTTAATCCCAGCACCAAGGAGGCAGAGACTGGTATATCTCTATGAGTTTGGGGCCTTCCTGGTCTACACTGTGAGTTCCAGGCCAGCCAGAGTTACACACAGAGATCCTGTCTCAAAAAACCAGCTAATAACGATAATAATTATATGAAGATAGTTATCATGAACACACAAGACACAATTACATTAGTTCTGAGTATGCTTTTGGTTAAAAACAAAGTAGAAAACTTGTATCTCTTTGAGGTGTAAGAAAGAGTCAATCAGCAAATTGAAAGGGAAAATCATTTTACAAGTCTGATGTCTCTTCTCCCTGCAGGCTTTATCACAAAACAGGCGGAATCAATGTTTTCCTTTGTTCTGCTTGGAGATAAAGAGGCAAGACCAGATGACTAGCTGAAAGTGTAGTCACAGTCCTCACAATCTAGTGTAGTTCTGACACAAACTCTCAATTTTATAATTTCATTTCCTTTCAAACTTAGATGTGGTTTGTAAAACATTATTTTTTCTAAATTATCAGTTTCATCGTTCCTTAAAATATTTTTGTTAACAAGACTCATTGAACCGGGCGGTGGTGGCGCACGCCTTTAATCCCAGCACTCGGGAGGCAGAGGCAGGCGGATCTCTGTGAGTTCGAGGCCAGGCTGGACCGACAGCCTCCAACACAAACAGAGAAACCCTGTCTTGTAAAACAAAAAACAAAAAAAACAAGACTCATTGAAATCACTGAACTAGACCACTCTGTAGCCAGAAAGAAGAGTTTACTAGGGATACAAACTACTAGGCTGCTCCAGAGACTAGAGAACCCACCTGGTGGGAGACCAAGCCTGGCCGGTTTTACAGGAAGTGGTGGGAGGTGGTGCCCAGGCCTGAACAGTCTGGGAATGAGCATGGGGACTTTAATCTGTTGCAGGCAGTTGGGATTAATCAGGAGCTAGATGACCTTTGCCCAAGGTAGTTGACCTCAAAAAGTGAATAAGGGAAGTAATGTCTTTCCTGACAGGCAGGACCCCCTCACGAAATTCCTGAGGAACGTTAACTTTAGGTTAACCCAGGCCATCATTTAGGACATCAGTCAACAACACTGCCATTTTGGAAGCCTGATTTAGACCTGACCATTTTAAATTTCAGCTCAAGAAGGATGCCCATTTGTAGTCTTTTTTTAAAGACGACCCTGGGCAAATTTTATTACTTTATCACTGAACCTCAGTTAACACATCTGTAAGATGGAAATGAGCCTAGCACCCATTTCAAAATTAGGTTTAAATACATGAAAATGCTTTAGTATGGGCCCTATACATGCCAAACCTCAACAACTGCTAGCTACTAGTGTTGCAAATACTGTCATCCAAGAGAATGGAAGGTTTAACACAGAAAATAAGAGGTATTAGTCATTCATAATGACTGGCTCCCAACGCATAAGCAGCCTCTACCCACTTGTCCAAAACTCATTGTGAGTGGTCCTCAATGTTTGCAGATGTTGCTGGGATGAAACACCATGACCAAAATTCAAGTTGGAGCAGAAAGGGTTTAGCCTTCAATAATGCTGTTCATCACTGAAGGAAGTCAGGACAGGAACTCAAACAGGGCAGGAACCTGGAGGCAGGAGCTGGAGCAGAAGCCATGGAGGAGTATCCCTACTGGCTTAGCTTGCTCCTGATGGCTTCCTCAGCCTGCTTTTTTATAGAAGCCAGGACCACCAGCCCAGTGGTGACACCACCAACCATGGGCTAGACCCGCCCCATCAGTCACTAATTAAGAAAATGCCCTTTGTCCTATCTTATGGGAGCATTTTTTCAACTGAAGCTCCTTTTTCTCCTGTGGATCTAGCTTGTGTCAAGCTGACATAAAACTAACCAGAACAGAGGACTTCCTGTCAATGTAGACCTTGCTGGCTTCAGAGGAGAGACCAGGGGACACCGCAGCTCTACTTCAGCACTCGCTGGGTCACAGTCCTGCTGCAGGCTCTGCTGGAACACATCTGGAGACTTTTTGTCCCAGGTCATGTTGAGCCTGCCAGTCATGGGGGGGGGCAGGAAGTTCTAAAAATGATGGGGACAGGTGCTTAAAGCCACCCACAAGCTTTAGGACTTGTAGTTTCTGTTCTTCGTTTAGAAACTAGCAGTGTCCCACTGGCCAAACTGTGTTCCCATCTACTTCTTGGGTTTTGGAGCATCTGTGCTTCCTGACTTCCAGACGACTTATTCTGCAAGGCCTCCCACCTCACCTCATCCATGCAGGCCTTGTCCATGCTGTCTTTCCTTTTCCATACAACCTCAGGTCTGACTCCTCCTAGGAGTCTTTCTTCCTTAGTTCTGTTTCCTTTTTCTCTTCCTTCCTTTCCACAGCCAGCCCTTCACCAAGTAGCTGCTCCTCGTTTTCTTGGAGCACTTTCTTTTTCCCTAGGGGCCTTTAGGCTGTTTCCTGCGGGGATGTAACCCATAGCCTCACTTTTTTGTTGGTTTTGTTGTTTTGTTTTGTTTTGTGAGACAGGATCACTCTACATAGCTCTGGCTGTCCTGGAACTCACTATGTAGACGAGCCTGGCCTCAAATTCAGAGAGCAGCCTGTCTCAGTCTCCTTAGTGCCAAAGCTTCACTTTTAACTAAAGAATTTATTTTTAGGTTACAGTGTTGCAGAATGGAAGTATTTGCATGGCTGGTTATGAGACCCACAGTCGCAGGCTGACCTACATGATACAGATAGAAAGCCCATGTTTTACTATGACAGTTCATATAGAGTGTCAACTTCACAGGACTAGACTCACCTAGAAAGAAGCCCTTGGAGCATGGATGGGGGATTGTCTAGATCAGGTTTGTTGAGGTGGAAAGACTGGCCCACTGTGGGCTGCACCACTCCCTAGGCTGGAATCCTGGGCTGTATGAAAAGGAGAAAGTGAGCTCAGCATGAACATGCGTCTCATTACCAGCTCTACCGTGATGGGCTCTGGAACCATGAGACAGAAGTTGCTTCTGTCAGGGAATTTTTATCATAGCAACATTAAAGAAACTAAGATATATACCCACAGTATTCCCATTGTATGAAATATGTCACATTTCCATTTCTGTGACAAAACACCATAACCAAAACAGCTTATAAAAAGAAGTATTTAATTGGACTTACAGTTTCAGAAGGTTAAAGTTCAAGGTGACAGAGCAAAAGCATAGTAGCATGAACAATCCAGAGCTTACATTTGATCTACTAGTTTCAATAATATCACTTAAGGGTTAGTTCAACAACACAGAGTTTTTTTTTTAATTCTTTCTTCTTTTTTTGCCTGAAATCAGGGAAAGACACATCATCCCAGGCTACTAGACTTCCATTCCAGCCAGCATCTTTGAGGGTTGGTTGTAGCAGTCTTATTTGAGTCTTAATTCAGCATCACCATCAGGCAGCCTGTGGCGTTGTCGACCTTGGTCTCACTCCAGTACTGTGCTGCTTGTGGATCAGGATGGCACATGGTGCACTGGTGACCACAAGTATAGCACTGGTCCTGGAACTGATTAGTCCATGGTGATTCTGCCCAGCTCTGACTGCTGGGGCAGGTGGGAGGGAATCATGACAGTTTATCCTTTCCCAGGATTCCTCTGGCTCATTCTGAACAGTACAGCAGGGGTACAGTAGGGTCAAACCTCGGCTAGGATCTCCCTCTAGTGTTGAAACAGTGGCAGCCCATCAACCGAAAACATCGCAAATCAGGATGGGGACACCATCTCACACTGACAGCTCACAGGAAGTTAGCAGCCTGTTGATCATTCCTGGAAAGATAAGCACAAAGTAAAATTGGAAAGATTCGAACAAACACTGAATTCGTCAACACCCAGATGACACATTAAACTAACAAGCATCCTGAGCTTACATAATGGCCAAAACAAAGAGGAGAAATGGTCAGATAGTAATTAGTATGGGAGGTGGCCTAAAGCCTAGGCCTTAGGTGGATAACTTTAAGATAGTCTAGTGAGCTTCAAGAAAACAAAAGAACTTAAGTCAGCAGTCTAACAGAAACTTAGATGTGGAAAATGTTTGTTATGTTGCAGTTTTCTTTATTTTTAAGATTATTTTATTATTTTACATGTTAGTGTTTTGCTTGTGTGTACGTCCATGCACCACAAGCAAACCTGGTTCTGTGGGGATCATAAAAAAGCATCAGATCCCAGAGACTGGAGTCAGTTACAAATGGCTGTGAGCTGACATGTTAGTGCTGGGGATCAAACCTGGTTCCTCTGCTAGAGCAACAAGTGCTCCTAACCCCAGAATCAGCTCTCCAGCCACCTATTCTTTATTCCTGAGAATTTCATACCTGTTAACAATGACATATGATAAGATTAGCCTCCCCTGTCCCCCGTTTCCCTTTTCCACCTCTCCCAATATTTTCAACACATCCCCCTCCAACTTCATATTATGCAAAAATGAGGCAATTCACTGGGGCATAGGAAACCTATCAGTGGTTGCATCCTCAAAAAAAAAAAAAGTGATACTCCCTTTCCAGGCAACCACCAAGTGCCATAGCTCTTCAGTGCGAATGGGGTCTGGAGATCATCTGTGGTGGTATTTTTTATGATCTAGCAAATAAAGTTTGCCTGAAGATCAAAGTGCAAAGCTAGCCACACTGGTTAGTCATCGAAGTCAGGCAGTGTCAGTACACACCTTTAATCCCAACACCCAGAAGACAGAGGCAAATGAATCTCTGTTGGTTCAAGGCCACCCTGGGCTACACAAAATTGATCCAGTCTAAAAGAGAAACAGAGCTCACACAAAGGTGATCCCAGCACTTGGACCTTTAATCCCAGTACTAAGGAGGTAGAGACAGGAAGGAATATGACTAGATTGAGAGAGGAATATAAGGCAGGAGGAGACAGGAGCTCAGGGCAGTCTAGGCAGTCAGTCTGCCATGTCTGGTCTGAGGTGGAGGTAAGAGCTAGTGGTTGACTGCTTTGCTTCTCTGATCTTTCAGCTTCTACCAACCCTAATATCTAACTCTAGGCTTTGATTATTAAGAAACGTTAGAATTCATGCAACAATCATCTGCTTCTTCTATGCTAGAATTTCGGCTGACTTGATCTTGTGCAGGTCTTGTGTAGGAACAACAGCTGCTGTGATTGCATTATTTTGATAGCCATGTCATATCCAGAAGACAGCAGATCACAACACTCTTCCCCATGCTCTGGCTCTTATGTTCTTTCTACCATCCTTTTCTCCAATGTTCCCTGACGGGTGATAATATAGAATTCTCTTTCATTTAGGCTGAGCACTCTGGTTCTTGCTCTCAACACTTTGACCAGCTAATGCGTCTTTCCATTGATTGGTGTCCACTGAAACAAAGCTCCTCTGACTAAGGTGACAGCAGCCCAGGTCGATGAGTATAAGCAAATATGTAGAAGGCACTTTGACAGTATGACCATTTATTGAAATATCAATAGTGGGTTCTACTAGTGTGCTGGTGCATGTTTGTCAACATGGTACAAACTAGAATCAACAGGAAGAGGCAACCTCTGAAGAACTACCTGTATCAGATTGGCTCAGTGGAGCATTTTCTTGACTTCTAATTGGTGCAGGAGTGCTGAGCCCACTGTGAGTGGTGCCATGTGACCAAGTTGGTGGGTCAGGGGCAGTAAGTCAATAAAGCAGTATGACTCCTTGGTCTCTGCTTCAGTTCTTACCCCCCGGGTCTTGCCTTCAGCTCATGCCCTGAGTTCCCTCAGTGATGGATTGTGATGTGGGAGTTCTAAGATGAAATAAACCATCTCTTAACCAAGTTTCTTTTGGTCATATTGATTCTCACCATGACAGGAAAAGACAACAACATAAAAGAAAACTAGATACCTAGAGCCTGTGGCCTCCATAGCCATAGGCTTTTGATCAATATTACAGTACCAGGCATGAGATTTCCTCCTGTGGAGCAAGCCTCTAATCCAGCCAGAAAGAGGTTGATTACCCAATTAATACCCATGCCACTATGTTTGGTATTGCAGCAGACAGGGTCCAGTTCTAGACAAGACCAGTGATGATTTTTCTCCACCAGTAACATGAATAGTACCTTCCAGTACTATGTAAGCTATCTAGCAGACAGGGACTTTCTGGTCATTGGTTTCTGTGTGTCCTGAAACCTAAGTATGTAGTCTTCAGCAATAGGTTTGTACTATGTGGTTGTTGTCTAAGCTAGGGTTTTATTGCTGTGTTGAAACACCATGACTCTTATAAAGGGAAACATCATTGGAGCTGGCTTATAGTTCAGAGCTTTAGTCCATTATCATCTAGGCAAGAAGCACTGTGGTAGCACACAGACAGACTTGGTGCTAGAGAGGTAGCTAGCTGGAAGCTCTACATCAGGATCAACAGTCAGCAGAAACAGAGAGGGACATTGGGCCTGGCTTGAACATTTGCAATTCCAAAGCCCACTTTCAGTGACACGCTTCCTCCAACAAATCCAAATCTACTACAAGGCCATACCTCCTAATCCTTGTCAAGTAGTGGCATTCCCTAATCACCAAGTTTTCAAATCTATGTGCCTGGGGTTGTGGGGGATGGCATTCTTATTCAAAACACCAGAGGAATTTTACTAACTAACGGGTTTCCTCAAGGCTTTTGTATATATTTTTAATTTTGGTTGACCTACACATTACACCCTCCTACCCTTTCATCCTACTACCCCCATTCCTGCTTATTCCTTTAAACCCAAGTATCCTCTCCTTCTCCTTCATTTTATATGTATCAGTCCTTTAAACTTATTTTTTAATTATATTGTAAGATAATAGGCTTCTGTATGGCTTTTCATATGCCCTTCCTTGGGCCAGTCCTCCCTTCAACCACCTGGTTTCCCTTTCCTGCTTAAGTTCTTCCAAATCCAGCATTCCACCTCCAGTTCTATTTTACCTATACTACACAATATGTCCCCAAAGTCCCTCTCTAGTTTCCTGGATTCCATTGGATTCCAAGTTAAACTCATAAAACAAATTATTTGAAGCTAGGATCCACATATGTACTGGTTAGTTTTTGCCAGAGGAAACTGCGATTGAGAAATTACCCCCATGAGGTTGCCCTGTGGGCATGTTGTGGAGGAATTGTCTTTGTCAATGATTGATGTGGAACCTACTTTAGGGTGGTGGGTCCCTGCAAAGGTGGCCCTGGGATATACTAGAAAGCAGCATGAGCAAGGCATCGAGAGCAAGTCAGTGAACAGTGTTCCTCAATGGTCCCCACCTCTGCACCTGTTTGAGTTTCTGTTGCCACTTCTCTCAATGATTGACTGTAACTGAGACATGTAAAACAATAAAACCCTTTCCTCCATAAGTTGCTTTTGGTAGTGGTGTTTATCACAATAATACAAAACAAACTATGACAGCACATATGAGAAAACATACAGTGTTTGTCATCTTGGGTCTGAGTTTCCTCACTCGGTACTTTTCCTAGTTCCATCTATTTACCTGAAGTTTTCATGCCTTCATTTTTCTTTACAGCTAGGTAATTTGTTGTAGTATGTACCACATGTTTCTTACCTACCCTTTAGTTGATGGACAACAAAGTTGATTCTGTTTCCTAGGCATTGTAAATAGAGGATGGATGTACAAGTATGAAGATCAGAAGACAATTTGTAGAAGTCTGTTCTCTCCTTTTACCATGTGGGTACCAGAAATAAAACGCAGGTCATCAGGCTTGGCAACAAATGCCTTTACCCAATGAACCATCCCACTGGCTCTATTTTTTAGTTTGGGTGAGCAGGATACCACTTTATTATCTAGTCTGGGATTCTGTGACATCAAGTGATCTTCCTGTTTCAGTTTTCACATAAGTGGGACAACAGTATATTACCATGTTATCAGTTGTGTTAAGGTTCTCTAGAGAAACAGAACTGAGTAAAAGAATGTGTGCGTGCGTGCGTGCGTGCGTGCGTGCGTGTGTGTGTGCGTGTTTAGAATTAAACCCATGACTTTGTGCATGCCAGGCAAGGACTTCACCACTATCTGACCTCTCTACTCCTTATAGTCCTTAGATTTTGGGGACACAGTTTTGCTATGTAGCTCAGGCCAGCCTCAGACTCTCAATCCTCTTGCCTCAACATTCTGAAAGCTGAGACTGTAGCATGCCCAGCCTAATTTTAAAAATGTATTTATATATTGACATTTGGATTAAGAGCATTGGCAGCTCTTCCAGCGCTCCTGAGTTCAATTCCCAGCAACCACATGATGGTTCACAATCATCTATAATGGGATCTGATGTCTGTAGGTGTATATGCAGATGCAGATAGAGCACCGTATACCTAAAATAAATATATATTTTAAAACTATTTAAAAAGCTGGGGGTGTGCATGTCTCTAATCTCAGCACTCAGGAGGTAGAGGCAGGTGGATCTCTGTGAGGTCTACAGAGAGAGTTCCAGGAGAAGCTCTAAAGCTACACAGAGAAACCCTATCTCAAAACACCAAAACCAACCCCCCAAAAAGAATAAACTTCAAAACATTAATAATCACACCGCATGCTGTTTTATCTGTATCTTTTACATCGTGTATCTTTTTTTAAATTTTATTTTCCAGTTTAAATTTAGATAAGAAACGAGGTTGCTTCACAAGTCAGTTCCAGGTCCCTCTCCCATTCCCTCCCCTCCTCCCATGCCCTCCCCCCACCCCCACCCCCACCCCGTTATCCCCTCATTCCCCCAGGGAGAGTGAGGCCCTCCATGGGGGTGTCCATAGTCTGTCATTTCATATAGGGCAGGGCCTAGACCCTTCCCCAAGAGCTCAGGGTGAGAGTGCATCTCACCT